TGGTTTAAAATAATCAGGTATTGGTCAAAGGGGTAAATGCCAGTTTCAGTTTTTAATGTTCTATGAAATACATTGTATGGACAAAGGGAAGCAATTCCAAATTCCTATGCAAATTAATTATCCAAAGGTTTAAAATGATATATTCTAGAGGAAACTTGGTACCACTCTTCTGACAAACCTATAAAGATATACTGTACACACAAGAAGAATAACTTCACAGTGGTACACTTTTACATAAAACTTTGATTCATAACAAATTAACAGTAAGTCCTTCTGTACAATATGATGGGAACTTCGTCTTTATTTTGTTCTCCATTCCAAAATAATATATATATCTTTTGCCTTAGCTTTCAGTACTTTCAGTACTTTGATTGTTATATACTTTTGTTTGAAACGTTTAACATGTAAGATAACAGTTATCTTAAGAGTAAGTCAAGTGTGCTGCAACCGTTCAAGGTATCTGCTGGTCAAATGTTAAGACTGCGTGGCACAGGTGGTTCATACAAATAGTTGAAAGACTACTGACGTACGATACCACAACATATCATTACAGACACTTCGAGGCAGGAGAGTAAAATATTTGATAAACAATGAAATAAAGTAACTTGAAACTTATGAAAAGACCACAACAGGATCCGAGAAGAGACATATAAACAAACCAGTGTTAAAAAATTACTGAGACTGTGATAGGTGTTGCGGAATGTTAAACGCATTTTACATCATATTATGTAACACTTGTCGTAATGTCTGTCACCTTGTTGAAGGTCACCAGCTTTCTAAACTAAAGTGAATATGCTTTCTGCTTTGTTATATAATGTTGTTTGAAACGTTTAGAGTAAGTCTAGTGTGCTGCAACCGTTCAAGGTATCTGCTGGTCAAATGTTAAGACTACGTGGCACAGATGGTCCATAAAAAAAGACTACTGACGTACGATACCACAGCATATCATTACAGACACTTCGAGGCAGGTGTAAACAAAATCCGATACTCTTTGTTATGCTTTCTTTTAATCATACCATATGTATTTTGTTCACATAGATTCAGTGAGGCAACAACCCGGTATACATTTATGATGGCCCGTTAGAGCTATAATGTGAAAATGATTTATCAATTACTGCCACTACTTTATCTGGAAACGATCACATGGAAGTTAATAAAACTATGATTTATTTATTTACTTTTGAAATACGCAACAGGAGTCTTAAAAAATCTTCACATATTTAATTAGACGATGAAAAAAAATACTGTAGCCCGATTCATACAATGCACGTGCGCGCACCTTCTTAAACACATTTAAACTCAATCCGGTTCACCTAAATTAATCCGTTACGATACTTCAACACGGATTCCCACATCATCAGTATCGTACGAGAATCTACATGACATCAAGCCAACAACAGCTGGTCGCTGTAAGTTATTTCTTCCCTTGAATTTAGTGTCATTAAACTGTCGCTCGGTGCCCGAATGAAATATAATGAAAATCTCCGCGTAGAAAACAGAACAGTAGAAGGGCAGAGAAACAGTGGCGAAGGACCAAAATAACCGTTCATTAACAGATTTATAGGGAACAATGTCGGCTAGTTGGTTCACTTCTTATTCAGTCAAAGAAGGCTTATCATTCCGGAAGAGACAGCTTAGACTCACCAAAAAGTGAATGGGTCAGAAAGGTGAAATTGTCCTACCAAGCTGTAATTCTGAAAAAGACTTGTCGAACAAGTTCAGTGATTACTTTCTAAATAAAATCAGCTCGATCAGGAAAAATCTGTCGGAGGTGAACTCTACTGCTGACAATGATATCTCTGTCATGATTGCTGACATTAAATTTGATGGGGAACCATTGACAAAGCTCTCACAAACAACCCAGGACGAGTTGGGCAATATCATCATGACCTCGCA